AAGGAGGGCGCTCGCCTCTCCGGTCTCGGGCGGGCGGCAACGGGGGGGTGCCCTGCATGCGGGGGGGGAGGGGGAAGAGCAGGGCCCTCACTGGGGGGCCTCCAAGGGCCCCCCCTTCGGAGCCTCCAGGGCCCCTATAAAGGGCCCCTCCAGGGCCCCTTCGGGCCTCAGGACTCGGGACCCTAAAGGGGCCCCCCTTCAGGCCTCCAGGGGCCCTAAAGGGGGCCTACAGGGCCCCTTCGGGACTCAGGACCCCAACTGGGGGCCCTCCAGGGCCCCCCTTCGGAGCCTCTGCTCTCGCTGCCTCTGCTGGTCTCGGGGCCCGAGGCTTCTGGTGAGTTGCGGCATGCGCCGCTGTTGGGCCTGTCGGCCTCGACCGGGCCCTCCGCGGGCCAGCTCGGCTGCTGGCCCGTCCAATGGCGCAGGCTTCTCTCTGGCCCTCTGGGTTGCCGCGGGCGGGACAAGCCGCATACCACCTCGCGCAGGCGAGCTTGTCTTGTCTGTCTTCTCGCTGTGCGTTTTGTTTTCGGACGGCTCCCTCTTCTATCGCTCGTTCGCTCCTCCTCCCCCAGTGTACAAAGACCCCCTGTCTGACTTCGCTTTACGCGCTGGGGTCATTTTGGAGATCACTGTCCTCCAGGACACCACTTTCGACGGATAGGAAAGAATTCAGCGCATTTGGAAGGCATGGGCGGGATGTCCCACAAGTATGGTGCACGCGCCCAGGTTGTCCTCACCCTTCTCATCCTGCTCCTTCCCCTCCCCCTCCCCCTCCTTCGTTCCCCCTCAGTGCCGCCAAAACCTTGCCACAAGCAACCATACATGGGGAACGAAGCCCCTCCTCACCCCCGGTGGCGTCTAGTTGCACGAGGAGCGCATTCGAGAAAATACTACGGAAGGTCCAAGGACCCTCGAACTCCCTCTCCGAAAGACAGCCAGTGCTTCTCACAAGACTTTGACTGTATCCTCCGCGATCTCCCCCTTTTCAGAGGACAAGGAAGGGGGAACACAGAACGAGGACGATGACGATGGGCCCCTCGGATCCCTGGGGCCTCCGCGACAACCCCGGACTGCAGCACTGCCCAGCTCTCTGCTCGCTCCCCGCCTGCCCCGCCCTCCTACCACCCCCCCGCAAGGGGGACACTTGTTTTGATTCGCGGGTCGAGAGCGCACCTCTTCCTGTCGAAGCTTAAGGGGGCCGCGCGAAGCTTGAATTAACAAAGAGGGGGGGAAGGGAAGGAGCGCAGCCTCACGGCGAGCCCGCAGGGGGACACGGAGGGGGCGAGCTGTCCCCCCCTCCCTTCGCAGGCTCCCGCGGGAGCCGTGCATCCTGCCTCCTCCTTTTCCTCTGACGGTGAGCAGGACGTGAAGAACGGTGCCCGCTTGCTCCCGCGCGGCGTGTGGACACATTCGGAGCGAAGGTTCAAGCCTGCACATGCCTGCCCCTCCTCCTCCTCCTCCTCCTCCTTCTCCTCTTCCTCCTCCTCCTCCTCCTCCTCCTCCTCCTCCTCCTCCTCCTCCTCCTCCCTCCTCCTCCTCCTCCTCCTCCTCCTCCTCCTCCTCCTCCTCCTCCTCCTCCTCCTCCTCCTCCCTCCCCCCTCCCCCTCCCCCTCCCCTCTCCTCCTCCTCCTCCTCCTCCTCCTCCTCCTCCTCCTCCTCCTCCTCCTCCTCCTCCTCCTCCTCCTCCTCCTCCTCCTCCTCCTCCTCCTCCTCCTCCTCCTCCTCCTCCTCCTCCTCCTCCTCCTCCTCCTCCTCCTCCTCCTCCTCCTCCTCCTCCTCCTCCTCCTCCTCCTCCTCCTCCTCCTCTCCTCCTCCTCCTCCTACTCCTTCTCCTCCTCCTCCCCACCCACCCCCTCCTCCTCCTCCTCCTCCTCCTCCTCCTCCTCCTCCTCCTCCTCCTCCTCCTCCTCCTCCTCCTCCTCCTCCTCCTCCTCCTCCTCCCTCCTCCTCCTCCTCCTCTCCCTCCTCCTCCTCCTCCATCTCCTCTCCTCCTCCTCCTCCTCCTCCTCCTCCTCCTCCTCCTCCTCCTCCTCCTCGTTCTCCTCCTCCTCCCCCCCCCCCCCCTCCCCCTCCCCCTCCTCCTCCTCCTCCTCCTCCTCCTCCTCCTCCTCCTCCTCCTCCTCCTCCTCCTCCTCCTCCTCCTCCTCCTCCTCCTCGTGAGACTCCTCGTCCTCCTCTTCCTCAACCTCCCCCAACAGCCCCCTCGAGCCTCCTACGACTGTGTCGGGCATGTCCCCCTACAAGCGGATGTTGGAGGAAACCTGCGAAATAGACAGGGCATGCACAAATACTAAAAACAAGCAATAAGGATCGAAGCATCGTCCCCCGACTCGTGTCTTACGATTCTTGGGTATCCCTCCTCTTGGAAGGACATGCCCGACGCAATCCTACGACCACGAAGAACCCACCGAGGCCGCTCGTCGCCATTGTCGTCGTCCCGTGCACCTCTCCGGGGGCGGGCGGGCCGGGGTGGGGGGCAGGAGCCCGCAGCCCAGGTGTCCTCGAACAGGGCGTTGTCGTTGTAGTGCTTCGTGATCGTGATCTGGAACGCGAAGTGCCTGGGAGGACGCGCGAGGGGGGCGGAAGGGGGGGGACGCACAGGGACATACTAATACTAGATGTCCTCCCTGGAGGCGCGCGTCCGACCCGAACGTATAGTAGACCCATCTTGTAGTAGATCGTTTCCCGAGCGGTGTGGCCAGAAAGCGCCCGCCACGACGCATACACTATCAGATTTCTCGGTGCGCGCGTCGCCCCTGAGGGGGCGACGCACATATAGTACAAGTATGTTGGGGTGAAGCCGAGGGGGGGGGCGGGTACAGTGGGAGCCCGACCAGAGGAACCCTCCCACGGGAAGCCCAACCCTAGCCCAGGACGTCCGCTGGTTTTCGTCGTGGGAACGTCACGCTGCCCACAGCAGAACCGGTCGAAACCCAGGAAACCCAGGGCGCCCTGCAGGCAAGCAGGGTGTTTCCTTGCTTGGGCTTCCACTGTACAGGGAAAGGGGGGGTCGAGGGGAGATGGATGGGAGAAGAAGAATGCGAGAAGAGGAGGACTACGAGAAGGGAAGGGGGAACGGCAGCAGCAAGAGAAGGAGGAGGACGAGGATACAGAAGGAAGAGAGAGAGAGAGAGAGAGATAGAGAGCAAAAGAGAGAGAGAGTGAGGAGGATGAGGAGGACAAGCTAGGTGGGCTCGCGCGCTCGCGCCATACCTGGCGTCCTACCCTTCCCACTCGTCTCTTGCCATTGCGCTGAAGTTGTGTTATGTGTTGTTGTTATGTCTCTCTCTCTCTCTCTCTCTTCTCTCTCTCTCTCTTTCTCTCTCTCTCTCTCTCTCTCTCTCTCTCTCTCTCCCCCTGAATACTCATATAGATACAAGACTGCATTGGCGCTTCGCGCCATGCACATCGGTCCTTGAAGTTTGGCATGCAGGCGGAACTCGCGGCGGAAGGGCAGAACTGTAAAGCAAAACACAGTAGCGATAACTCCTCGTTACCTTGTCCGGCACCGTCGTCACGAGAATGCCATTCGCTATCCTGCCCTCATGCCTCTTCGTCCTCTTCCTCAGTCTCGCCCTCCCCTGTGAATGCGTCCCCGTCCTCCTCTGTCTCATTGGGGAGGCTCCTCCTTGGAGGGCTCCTTGGGGGCCTCACCCAAAAATTGTACTGGGCTTCTTGGGGCCTCCTGGAGGCCTCCCGGGCGCCCTCTGGGGCCCCGCAGGGGCTTCCTCGGGCCACCCCGCTTCCAACTGCGGCCTCCCTGCACGACCCAGGTCAAGATTTGGAATGCTTCGGGGGGGCGCCTCGGGACCACCTTGGGCTGCCATGGGGCTCGCTTCGGGCCATCGTGGGGCCCTGCTTCGCACGCGTGTTGTGGGCTTCGTGCGTGCCTCTTTGCTCGATGATCCAGGACCAGGATGCTCTTCGATGGTCCTCGCCGAGAAAAACTGCACACGTCCGAGCGGTGCCAAGCCACTAGAAGAGCCAAACAATAACGCCATGGACGCAGGTCCGCGCGGACCTCTTGGGTCTGCGCTGGCCCCCCCCTGGCGGCACCTCCGGCGCCGCCCCTGGCGCGCTCCGCGCGCAAGGGAGGGGGGTCCAGCGACGATCCCAGGAATCCGCACGGAGCTGCGCAAGTTCATGTTCATGCAATTTCTGGCTCCTCTCAAAATCTCATTTAAGGATGGGCTGGTGGGATCTCAAAGCGTAGTTACCCCACCACACATCGACGAGTTCGACTCCCCCACCAAAGCCAGCGCAACTTCCGCGCAACGCCGCATCAACACAATCAGCCTGCAGCGCTCGAGCCCTTCGCTGCAGCATTCTCAGGGAGAGGCTAGTGATGCGCCGCCGGCGCCGCCGTCCTCGACCATCGGCACATGATCAAACCACAATCAGAAACACCAGCCAGAACACACTCGGGAGGGTCCACAGGAGACTCGTGCACAGCTTCGCGCACATGTCTCCGGCGATGCCGTGCCGGCCTGAAGCGTAGAGGGGAGGGAGCGGAGGCCACGCAGGGGCAGTGGGACAGTACCATGTTTTCTGGCGTCGGAAAGGGGTGCAGGATCCTCGTGCCCTCCGAAGTGTCATTGGCCACGTACGAGAGTGACTCACATCACACACCGCATGTAGTCATGTCGATGCTGCCGCCACGGCACACCAGGGCGGCCGGCCGGCCGTCGTGCAGCAGCGCCATGGGGTGCACGACCGAAGCGTGCGGGCCTATGATGACGCCCTCTTCGGAGGGGCGAGACCTCAGCCCGGGCCCGTGTGAGAAGCTCCTGAGGGCCAACGATCGGAGGGGACACATCGATCCTGAAATCGGCGCCACTTCGCCGGTGAATCCGCGATGGGCCCCCGATAGCGAAACACCGCATCTGCCTGGGCGGGGTGGGGCTATCGGGCCCCCTGTCGGCGATCCATGGGCGATTGGGGGTCGATGCATTCCCCCCATGCCCATCCCCCCTACCTTTGGACGCCCGACATGGGCACGGAAGGAGTGGGTACAAGGCCCAACTGCAAATGTCGTCCCAAACCGACAGCGGCCGCTGTGGGGCAGGCAGCGTTTTCTCTTCAGTGAGCCACGTCCGCGGCGGCGCGGGCAGCGAGTTCTGCTCAAGATGATCAGAAACTGCTGTCTGCTCCATCAAAGAATGATCAGAGACAGATCATAAACAACGAGTCCGCGAGTCCTGCTCAAAATGACCGGAAAACTCATTCTTTCCGTAGAGTCGGGGCTGACTGGAGAGGACACGCGAGAGAACACAAGACCCTTCCGAGGGCCACATTGCCACAGGAATGCAGAAGGCATGGGTCGCGAAGCACATGACACCAGGGTACCCTTGCTTTGGCAGGGTCGACCTACGATCAGCCTCGACTGTATCCATTTCGATCGCCCCGACTACAGTTAGGTCGGGCGTGTCCCCCTACAGGCGGAAATTTGGACGACATATGCAAGAATAGTCAGACATTGTTGAAAAATCGTCCCCGTACTGTTCTTTAACTATTTTTGAATATTCCCCCTGTACAGGGACAGGCCCGACTTAAGACTACAGTGAAGGCCCGTCCACGAGAAACCTTCCACAAGAAACCCAGCCCTGAGACCCCAGGACGTCCATTGACTTCTGCTGTGGGAACGCCACGCTGCCCATCGCAAAACCATCGGACCCCAAGAAACCCAGGGCACCCTGGAGGCAAGCAGGGTGTTCCTTGGCATCCCTGACTCCGGATCCGCCCTAGTTTTGGGAAATTCGTAAGTAGGGCGTGAAATTTCCGCCTTACTTTTCAAGCCCCGCTGATGCCAATTTCCGCCCTACTTTCCTGCTGCTGTTTCCGCCCTACTTCATGCTGGGTGCAGAAATTTCCGCCCTACTTTTTCGGCCTCCTATCGGTGGATTTGCGACGCAATTTTTGAAGCTGGAAGAAAAGCTAAGAAGTAGGGCGGATGTGGAGTCAGGGATGGGCCTCCACCGCATCGTTGCCCTTATGTCGGGCCTGTCCCCCTACATGGGGATTTTCGGCGAAAAACAAAAAAATCCACAAAATACACCAAAAAGGCAAAAAAATACCCAAAACATAGTCCCCAGACTATTTTGGCACTATTGTTTGATCATGTTTGGGGTACTTTATATTTCTGGTCCGACATCCCCCTGTAAGGGGACAGGCCCGACTTAACGTTGCCCCTGCGCTCCTCGCGACAAAGACGCTCTGGCCCGCGAGCTCCGGCTCCGGCGGCGCCGCCATGGCCGGCGGCGCCCGGTGCGGCGGCGCGCGCCGCGGCCCCTCCAGAGGCCGCGGCGGGCCCGCCGCGGCGAGCGCTGCCTGCGGCGCCGGCGGCGCCGGCGGCGCCTGCGGCGCCGGGGGCGCCGGCGGCACGGGCGGCGCCTGCGGTTGGCCCAGAGATCCTGGCGTTAGGTTCTATTCTATTCTACCTCTGCGCGTGGTGACCTGCAGCTGGGCGGGGCACGCAAAACAAATTCACACATGAGGAACCGTCCACCAGACATAGGTGTCAGTCCCCTCTTCAACCTGCTGAGAACATCACGCCCCGCACGTGTGGGGGGCTTGCACTCCTCTTTCAGGGACCGCGGGTTCTCTACACAGTGGACCGCGTTAGGTGGGGCGCGTCCTCCTGCAAGCGGATTTGGGACGAACTATTTTCGAAGGTTCCGCCCGTGGAGGGACAGGCCCGACTGGATCCTGGCGTGGCATTTTTGTCGGGTCGGGCGTGTTTCCAGGGGCCCTGGGGCACACGAAAAGATATACACAGATCCTAGGAGTCCCTACATATTTGCCCATAATTTCTGGATTTTCGTCTTCCCCCCCACTGCCTATATTTTCCCATATTTTCCTGGGAGTCGACGATGCCTTGTGTCTGTGTGTTTCTTCCCCTCCTGGGTTTTCGCTTTGGTCGGGCCCGGGGACCCTCGCAGCTCGATCCCGCTCGAAAGAGGACGCAGAAAGATTGGGTCTAGAGGGCTCCGGGCGTGATTGTTCAACGATGTTGCCGTGTTTTCGCCACGTCGGATCTCACTCAGGGGTGGCGGGGCCCAATGGGGGAAGCAAAACGGGTGCTGAGACAGCTGCTCCCCAGACCTGGAGGAGGCGGAGGAGGAGGAGGAGGAGGAGGAGGAGGAGGAGGAGGAGGAGGAGGAGGAGGAGGGGGAGGAGGAGGAGGAGGAGGAGGAGGAGGGGGAGACAGGGACAAGCTAGGTGCGCTCGCGTCATATCTGACGTCCTACCCCTCCCTCCCATCCCTTACCATGGCGCTGATTTTCTCTATCCGCGGACGCGTGTCGTAGCGGACCTGTGGCTCCGCGCGCGCGTGCGTAGTGGGTGGTGGTGCGCCGTGCGTGCGTGCGTGCGTGTGTGCGTGGTTGTGGTGTGGTGGTGGTGGTGGGTGGTGGTGGTGGTGGTGGTGGTGTGGTGGTGGTGGTGGTGGTGGTGGTGCTGTGGTGGTGGTGGTGGTGGTGCGGCGCGGTGGTGGCGGGCGGATGGGCGCGCGAGAAAGAGGCCCGCGCTGGGGCGAGAACGCCATCCTGAACGACGGAGG